GGAAGGAAGGAAGGAAGGAAGGAAGGAAGGAAGGAAGGAAGGAAGGAAGGAAGGAGCTGATGAGGTCCTCAGAAAGCGAGAGGACCACTGAGAAAGGCAAAGAGCAAAGGCCACATTCAAAGTGGTGGGTGGGTGGAGGTGGTCCAAGCAAAGATGGCCTGCAAGGGTGATGGTGAGGCCAATGATGATACTTATATCCTATCTTTATTTTTTTGTACAAGGTGGTGTACATAATGCTCCCTCCTCCTAGTTTCCCTGCGACAACACCCCTGTGAGGTGGGTTGGGCTGAGAAAGAGGGACTGGCCCAAAGCCCCCCAGCTGAGGGGGACTAGAACTCACCGCCCCGCCCCCCGGTTCCCAATCCAGCCCCTTCAGCCCTGCTCTGAACTGGGTGGAAAACCTCTCCGTGAAAAGGTACGGAGCAGGATAGCCGGTGGTGTTGATGTAAACTAGTTTCATCCGTATTTCATTTTCTTTTCCTACGGCATGGATTTTCCTTCTTCGGCTTGCTCCTCCTTACTCCCTTTGCCAGCGTGGCTGATCACCAAAGGGAACAGCGGGCGCCCAGACTGACTGAACTGCCACAGCGACACTCCCGAAGACACGCAGTGGCCAGAGGAGCAGCGGTTAAAATCACGGTTCACGGCTCCGAGCTAAGCGGCCCCAGCCCGCTGCAGGTGCTCCTGGCGGCCGTCTGGCCCGCCAAGCGCGGTTCGGGGCTTCCGGTTCTGCCAGCGCGAACACACATCAGGCAGGGGCCGTTCCAGGAGGGGAGCTCATCCAAGCCAGGGGCGAGATGTCGTCATAATAGCCCTAACCTAATAAAAGGCTCAGCTCTGTGGCCTGAAAGGGCGTCGCGAGGTCTCGTAGGCTGAGCATCCTTCTCAGAGAGACGGACTGTTCCATCAAGCTCTGGGGGACTTTTGCCACCGGGGTCCAAGTCCACTTTCCGTCCAGCCGTTGGAGACGATTTTGTCCGTCCCCAGTTTATAGCAGGGGAGCCTCCCGCTCCCCCACCCTGATGCCCTTTTCTACTTCCACCCATTTCTTTCTCCCCAGGGTAATTTGGATAGGATACATATCCAGGATGAATAGAAGGTGAGGAGCCAATTCTCCCGACTACACAAGGACAAGAAAACGAATGAAAATAAACTACATTGTCCCCAGCTCTTGGATCTTCCTAACGGGACTTTTGCCTGTTCTGCAGCTGCAGCTAAGTCGTTCAGTGCTTCTACGGAGCCCCAGGGAGCGTGACCGGGCCGGGCCTCCCTCGTCCCGTGCCTGTGTCCCTGGTTTCTTTCTCCTGAGCGCTTGTCTCTGTGAATTTCATTCAGCTGCTTTTGGTCCACTTCTCTAAACTAGCAACGATGATGTTGACGGGTTTGGCCTTCTAGGGGTTAAACAATCCTGCTCCCTTTTTATCATCTGCGGACCGGATAAGCCTCCCCTCCTCTTCCCAGTGCAAGGCACGAATCAGAACCGTGAGGAGTACTGCAGCCGCCCAGGGCTGAGCCTCACCGAGCGCTGTGCCCTGCTGAGCAGGCCAGCCGGCCGGCCGATCAGCCCACCTTGCTCCAGCCGTTGGCTGCGACCCGGCAGACCGAGAAGCCCAGGGAGGAAGCCTTGGAGCAGGCGGGGCTCCTACCTTGTGGGTGGGGGGCCTCCTGCAACTCAAATGCCCGGTTGATGGTCCCGTTCGGGACGCCCTCTTGCTCTGCCGCGCTCTGCTCCAGCTCCGACTTGTGCAGCTGCTGAAGGACGGCGTGCGCGATGGGCACCATCATGGCGGTGGTGGCCGTGTTGCTGATCCACATGGAGAGGAAGGCGGTGATGCCCATGAAGCCCATCAGCAGCCTGGAGCAAGGAGGGCGTGGGCTGAGTCCAGGCGGGCCTGGCCCGGATCCCCTCGAGGAGCTGCGCTGCCTCGTCTGCTGGATTGGGAGCCCGGCCACAGGGCTCTCTTTGGCCCCACGCCGAGGACCGGGGCCGGGGCCGGGGCTGCAGGCACGGGAAGCCACTACCGTGCAGGACGAATGGCCCAAGGAACGCCACGATCCTGCCGCCAAGCTCCGCACCAGACTCCAGAGGGGCGGCCTGGGAGGCAGCGCTCCCAGGGCCGATCCTGCACGGGAAGCCGGGCTTCCTCTGCCCTTGCGTGGCTGAGTTCCTGCTCCCGGCTGCAGACAGCGGACCAGTGGGAGGACTGGGGGGCCACGGATATCCCGGCTGCTGCTGAGAGGCCACGAGAGGCAGGGAGCCAGCCCAAGCAGGGAGCCAGACCAGCCCACCCCTGCCCTAAATGGGCCGTGGATGTCCACAGGGTATGGTCTGAAGTCAAGATGGCGGCCGCAGCGCACATGCCTGAGGGACCGTCTGGTGCCCATTACATCGACCCGTCCCACCCGGTCAGGCAGAGGAGGTCAGTTGCAGACCCCGTCCACGAAAGAAGGTCAACCGGCGGGGCCCAGGAGGAGAGCCTCCTCCGCCGCTGCCCCACCCCACGGAACGCTCTCCCCCCAGAGGTGAGGCGGGCCCCCGTCCCCCCGGCCTTCCGGAAAGGGCTGAAGGCCTGGCTCTGCCAACTCGCGTGGGGCGAGAGGGGCGGCTGGCGCCTTGAAGACGCTCCCCGAATCTAAGGTATTTATTATTTGTATAGGAAGTCTTCTTGTAATGCATTTTAATTCGTATGTATTCTATTTTAACGAATATTTATTCTTTTTACTCTAAACCACCCAGAGTTGCTCTGCAGTGAGATGGGCGGTGAGAAATTTGAAAAATAAATAAACAAACAAATAAATAAATAAATAAATAAATACCAAGCAGAGTTCAACCACGCCATCTTGACTTCTTTGACCATGCCTTGCAGACCCCCCAGACCTGGCCAGCCCCACCGTTCCTGCTCCACTGGGGCCCAATGGAAACGACCCCACGGATGCTTCAGGCCTGCTGAGGCTCTTCCCTAGGAGAGCTGCAGGGCCCACCAAGTGGGCGGGCGGGGGCAGCCGGGAAAGAGGAGCAGGGTGCCAGGAGGATGCCCGCCAGCCTGTTCACAACGCAGCAGCCCGGGCTTCTCTTCTGAGGACTGGATGCAGAAGAGAGAGGGACTGATGGGAGGGGAAGGACCTCCCTGGCCTGGGACGGACGCCAGGGCCATCTCCTGAAGGACTCACAAGGCAGGCCGGACCCCAATGATGAGGAGGACTTGCAGGGCGATGCGCCTGTGGAGGTTCCAGTGCTCGACAGCAATGGCCACCAGCAGCCCTCCAATGAAGAGCATGTTGGCGTCCTTTAGGTATTCCATGCACACCTGCGGGGAAGCGGGGAGGCCGTCATCAGCTGGGGCGGGCTCCTTCCCTCCCTCCCCACTCCTCTGCCCAGCTGCCGTTCCTTACCGTCGTGGAGTCCATGATGCCCATGAGGGGGAAGAAAAGGACCGGGATGAGAGCGGTCACTGCCAGGGGCAAGGCTTCGGTGCACCAGAAGATGGCCATCAGAATGATGGTGTAGCCGCATTGGGCTTCCTGGGGGGAAGGAGGACCAAGAGGATCAGTCCGGCGAGAGGCATCGGGTGGACGCCTGAGGCCTGCGGAGCTGCAGGGCACGGAAGGGGCAGCGCCGAGCTGCCGGGGCAGGCAGCCGGCGCTCCAGGAACACTTGCGCCCTGGCAGCAGCCGTAGCCCCTGCTGCTGGCCCCGCTGAGCGGGCCCGATGGGAGCTGGAGTCTGGCAACGTCACAAAGCCATGCCTGGCCCCCCTCCCGGTTAAGAAGCATTCTGCCCCTCCGCCCTCACCCCCCGGGCTGGCCGGGGGGAAGGAGGAAGGAAGGAAGCCACCGGAGGAGGAAGAACGAGGACCGGCTTGGTCTCCGAGTCAGGCCTGGCGGCAGGAGGGGGAAAGTGAAGATCGGGGATTTTTAATGCACCTTTAAAGCGCATTAAATTAACCACAGTATACATTCAGTGGTTGTTGAGACAAGAAGGTGGAACCCTTGATTTATCGAGGCATTGTAGGAGGAGAACTGTGTCGGTCTCGGATGGCAAGCAATCAGAGCCGGTCGGGCAGCACTTCTCCAACTAACAAATGTTATTAAAACTGTATTAAAGACGCAAGCTTTTATGAGTTTCAAAAGCTTGTCTTTTAATAAAATCTGCTAGTGGGAAAAGGCTCTACCAGACTCCAGGTTTTTGCAAAGCCATTACGAACCGTTGTTCCAAAAGAGTAGTAAGGTGGACAATGCCTAATAACAAAGTACGACCCAAGTCCCGCGTGAGTCTAACCGGGCCACCGCCTCTGATGGCGTGAGAGATGCTGCTCACGAAGGCTTCTGCCTTTTAATAAGGCCGGACGAGGGGCTGCCGGACTCCTCCCGATCTCCTGGGTCTCCCTGGACGCTCGGGAGCCTGAATAGCCGCAGGCTGAACAAGCGCCCGTCCCAAACTGGGGATCTTCAGGTGCCTGGCAACGCCCGGAGGCCCAGGGCTGGGGAGCAGGCAGAGTATTTGCCTACTGCAGGCTTTCGTAACCGGGGCACCCCCGGATGAGGGCGTTAGCTCCAGGAATTCCCCAGACGCAGAGGCCGTGCGGAGGATTCTGAGGGTTGAAATGGGAACATCTGGAAATCCCCGAGCTTGGGAAACCCTGGTCTGCGTCTGCCCACTGCAGCAGTTTCCGGAAGGTCCGGCTGGGTGGCAGCCCTTGGTGGACCTCAGAGAGCTAACCAGGATCGGGCCAGGCTGGTGCACGGAGGGGAGAGTCCCAGCAAAGCCTGAGTTTCTCTAGAAAGCCAAGCAGAACAAGGCAAAAGCAACTTCCCCGAAGAAGGGAGAGGCCCACGTCCACCTTGCACCATGGCGTGTCTCCATGAGGCCACCCGGCGCCAGGCCCATTTGCCAGGAGAGTCCCTTTCCCTTGCTGCCCAAGCCAGCCTTGTTTGCCCCCATCTGCAACCCCGGGTGCTCCCGAGCAGCCCCTCAGTCCGAGCCGGAGCAGCCCTTGAGCCAGGCAGGGCGGAAGGCGAGTTTTACGGGTGAGTAACACCCAGAGCATCTGCTACTGATACGGTTGAAGAAGGACGGAGCGGCCACAGGGGTGTCCACGAGGTGTGGTTGAAAAGGTCAAGATGGCGACGCGCCTAAAGAACGGGCAGCACTCCGATGGCACCACCTCGGCTGCCGCCTTGGCTTTCTGAAGCACCCCTGCAGACGCCCCTGAGGAGCACCAGGATGGGCAACACCCCACTTCTGAGAGTGGCAATCCTGTCCAGAGCAGCGGGGCGGGTGGGCAGGGCAGGAACAGCCACGGTCTGCCTGCGGGATTCTCTTTGCCGCAGCCCCGCTGCTCCTGCTGACTCTAAGGCTACAATTCTGTGTGTGTGCGTGTGTGTGTGCACGTGTGATCGTCTGCTTTCAAAGGCACCCATTTCTTCTTCAGTCGCAAACAACGGTGCCCAGATCCTGGGTGTGTTTGCTCCGGTGGAGCACCTGGGCTGCTTCCTGGGTTAGAAGTGGAGACGGAAGGAGTGGACCAAACCCGTCATTAGCCAGGTAACCGCAGTTCTGCCCCAGTGACTGCTGCAGAAGCCACCTTTCCTGGCAGGAGGGAGGTGGGGTCAAAGCTAAGCTGGCTCCTCTTCCTTCTTCCTCCTGGTTGGCAGGGAGGAAACGGAGCCTTTCACAGGCGTGGAAGAGACCTCCCTTGGTTCACGTTTTCTCTTCACTGTAGCTTCTTTGCCTCCCCCCCAATAAGACACGAACCTAAATTCAGCTATATTTTGATTCTTCACCAGGTTTTGCAAAAGAGCCTATAGAATGCAGAGTACTGAGGGATGGGAATCCATACCTCTGTGAAAGTAATAAAAATCCATCACTCTTCTTTCAGAATGCACACATTAAGCAAAATGCAGACAAAAATGCACACACAGCATTAGAAGAAATCTGTAGAAAATGTATGCACGTTTTCACACAAGCATTTTGAATATTTGCACATGGATAAAGGAACATCAGAAATTGAATTTAAGCTTGGGAAAGAAAGAAATGAAAAACTGAGTCCAAATGACAGATTGTCTATGTAACCCTAATCTTAAGGGCATTGATCTGTTACTTAGAGGTGTAGCAATCATGGGGGGGCGGGGGCGGGGTGTGCTTGCACTTTGGAAGCCTTTGCTCCTGGCCCTTGTGTTCTCTCTCTCTCACACACACACAACACACACACACACACACACAAAGAAAGAGGCCTGATGGTCAGACCAAAGGTGGATGTGGCTTTGCTGTACTTTTATGGGCTGTTACGGCTTTATTGATGCTTTTATTATATTTGCAAATATGTTTATGGATTAGTAGGCGTTCTCTGAGATTTATAAAAGTTCTTCATGTCCTGGGACAAAGAAAAACCTCCCCTTCAGTCAGAGACCAAACTTAGCATCAGTCAGAGGCTCCAGAATCTGCTGGGTTTAACAAAAGCCAAAGGCAAAACCCTCCCCACTTTCATGCATCTTTCCGTAAATCTTCATAATCTCTTCCTTGGCTCTTTTTCTCCTAATGTAAGAAGCTGCCTGTGGATTCTCTTTTCTTTCAGGAGAAGCGTTTCACCCATTGGCAGGTTAACTGTCCTCCTTGGCACATTTCCCCGGATGTATTTATGAACTCGAATAACGTAGGAACCGATAAGCTTCGGAAAAAGTCTCAGGGCCCCTTTGCAATGCAAAGAGAAATTCAGCAGCTACAATTAGATCAGAAGAACCACAACAACGCAGGAGCCTCAGCCAAAGTTAGGAGCTTCCGGCAAAGCCAGAAAGACAGTAGGAAGCCAAGTACAAATGATATTGGAATGGATGGGGAGTTGGCACTGAGAAGGTATTTAAAGAGATATCCTTGTTAGGGGGGAATGGGGTCCCCTGTTTCCACTTGCTTAAGGAATGACGGCACAGGGGAAGCTCAGCCTGACCCTTTGTTCACCTAACTTCTCCCTAACTTCAGAAACCTGGGAAGCGTGGAGGAAGGCCTAGACAAAGAACGGAGGGTTTGAGGAGATGATGATGAAAGGATGATGAAGATTGTCCCGAACTCTGGATTTCTCCTCGGGCAAGGCGTGGACTTTGCCCGTTGCAGCTTCCAGTTCCTGGATGAGTTGACAAGGCAATCCCCCAGCTTAAAAATTGATAGCTGCGAAAGAGAGCTGGAGGAGACATAATCTCGCCAGGACTTTGCTTCTTGGAAAGGGCTTGGAGGTGTCCCCTCGATTAGAAGCTGGAAGTTATTATTTCCGCTCACAGCCAGAAAGTCACCCTAGCCAGGCCAGGCAGGCTTCTCTCCCTTTGGAAAAGCTCCAATGCCACCTTGCAAGGAGCAATTCGCTGGGAAACCTTCCTGCCCAGATCTCCGAGGGCAAGGGGGGCTGGGTTGTGGGGAAAGCAGCCCAGGAGAAGCTGGCGGAGCAGAACCGGCGCACAAGCAGCAGGGGCACGGGGGGGCTGCTTTGTGGCCGTGGCGGTGGCTCGAACTGTGCCGGCCGATCCACGGGTACCAGTTTACATAAGGGAGCGTGGTTGGGTGGATTGGAGGGGCAGACTTAAAGTGCCTTTGCTCCTGATCTGCAGTTAATCATTTGTGGACCGCGAGAAGAGGAGCAGGACCCTTTGCAGTGAGCCAACATGTGCAAAACGCAGGAGGCGGCTGATTTGGGGTCCACCTGGCAGGGCTTTTTCCACACCATGGGGCAGCTCTGGAAGAGGCACACAGATCTGCTCAGAAAGGTAAATGGGGAAAGGGAAACCTACAGACCGAGCTTTGAGCTCAGGCCTCCATTCTTCTCAAAACTCCTAGGCAAGACAGGCCACGACCTGCGCCACAATGCATGTCCGAAAGGGGTTGTTACTTCCAGCTGGACTCCAGGCATGGTGGCTCCACAGAGCAGACGTGGACACGTCTTCCAATACATACAGGGCTGTCACAGGGCAGAAGGTACGGATTTATTCTCCAGAGGAGCCAAGGGTAAGACGAGAACCAATAGAGCAAGATCCAAACTTGAGGTCGGGAGGAATTTCCTGACTGTGGGAGCTACGAAGCAGTGGCCCAGCCTGCTCCTGGAGTCGCGAGCGCTCCAGCCCTGGAGGGTTTCAAGCCAAGGTGGACGGCCTTTTGTCCGGGATGGTGTGAAGATTCCCACTGGAGGATTCCATTATTTTGTAACTCCACGTTTCATCCAGGCAGTCTGCCTTCCTGCAGAATGTTTTTTCAACTTCCCAGCCTAGCCTGCAGACTTCCTGGTGATCTCCCATCTGCTGAGTTTCTAAGTTACACCAAGGCGGTCAGGGGTCGCTAAGGGAAGTCTCTATTTTGTTTATTGAAAGGAAATCTCATCCTTGTGTTAAGCACAACGGGTTCTTCTGAAAGTCTTCAAGAACCTCAAGGGACTAGAACAATAATTCACAGAGAGAATTGTATTCCATTAAGAGAAAACTATAGCAATTGCAGTTCTTTAAGATCATGACAGAAAAGTATAAATATATGATTATTTCTGGTGGCAAAAGCTTCTGGGTCAAATGTGCTTTTTAGGAATTGAGGACACTTCCCCTCAATGCACCTCTATTTTGCGTTGGTGAGACTGCCCTGGAATAATGCATCTCAGTTCAGGAGGGACATTAGGAAAATTGGAGCACGTCCAGGGGAGACCAGCCAAGAGGATCAGACGCAAACACTCACAAAGCCCTGGGTATGTTTAGCCTGGAGAAGAGAAAACTGCAGGCAGGGAGGCCTGACGGGTGCCTCCAAAGCAGAAGATGGGGACAGAACTGTTCCAGCAGACAAGACAAGAAGCGCTGGGATTAAATTAAACGAGAAATGGATTTTGGCTGGACACCAAGAAGAATTTCCTAACAGGAAGAGCTGTTCACCAGTGGAACTGGCTGCCTGAGGAAGTGGTGGGCCCTCCATGACTGGAGATCCTTAAGCAGAAGCTGGAGGGCCACCAACCAAGGACTCTATTCCTACCCGGGCAGAGGGTTGGACTAGATCCGTGTTTTTCGAACTTGGCAACTTTAAGATGTGTGGACTTCAGCTCCCAGAATTCTTCTCACTAGATGATCTGTAAGGTCCATTCCCTTCCAGCCTTACCCTTCTATGATCCTGAGACTTTATCATGAATCCTGACGTTGACTTGCAGTCTGTTTAATACTGCACCGGCTCGCAGTCCCTTCCTTAACAAACCCCTTCCTCCTTCACAGGTTACAGTGGGAGAGGACAGGAGGAAGGAACACTACACAGGCCACCCTGAGCTTCTGAATGAACGGTAGCAATGATGATGATGATGATGATGATGAAGAAGAAGAAGAAGAATTAGTATAAATCAGGCCAGCAGAAGAAAAAGATTCGGTGTTTACTGCTAGACATTTGAAAACCAAAGTTTATCTTTTGCTGGAGCTGTAGTATTTAAGAACATGCAAACTGGCTTTGGCCAAAAATTAATACAGCCACCTAGACATTACAAAGGAAGTCAAATGACACCATCATTTATTAACTGTTTTAATATTTTTCCTAACAGGTTATATGTTCAATTTTTCTTTTGGGCGGGAATATTGAATGTGGTGGTTATATGAACATTTATACAATACTCCTGTCCAAAAGTAAAGCATGCTACCTTCCAAGATTACATATCTACGTATATACATATATAGATATTATTTCTAGTTATTCCCTAACCTGGAATCAACACTCACCCAGAGAACATTCTATGCAGGGCTCAGACGAGAAGCCCCTCTGATTCCGGGATGACTCTAAATGCTCCGAATCCATTGTAGTTTTTAAAATGTTCCCTGGGCTTTTTCTTTGACTGGTGTATTGTGTATTTTATTTATACTCTTTTCCTTTTTGGTGGGGGGGGGGTGGTCTGGCAAAAATAAGGGAGAATGAAATCATCATCAAAAGAAGAAGAAGAGGAATGTAGCTTTTAACATCAGATTTCCCTCAAAGCCAGAAAAGGAGAGTGGCGGGCAATGATGGTCCTGTGTGGGCATATCTATGAAATAAACCTGCGTAGGGGGGGTTTTTTCCCCGCCGGGGTCCCC